AGTATCACCAACGTACATTATTCCTACTGTTTTCATAAGCCCTAATGTTATTATGTCCCTTTTATTTTTGGCTTTTCAGCTCATCATATTTTCCCCATTTGTTAGAATTCTTTATATGTCTCCTTCACTGTGAAAGATTTTATGTTTTTGTAGTTGAAAAACAGGAAAGATGAAATATTATAGCTGAGCTAGTAGAAACACAATCCAATTCTGAAAGTGAACTGCTTGATGCAAGAACAAGCCAATGATGCCGGCAATGGTGATTTGGTGCCAATATTTAAGATCTATTTGGGACAAATTATCAGTAATGTTAGCTCTGGCTCTGTTACTATCTATTTGGGGTTGGGAAGATTAAATCCAGGATGTTCCCAACAACTGCTTAAATCTAGAGAATCTCTGTATAAGAATAATCAGTGTTTGTAAGAATATCAAGCCAAATAATCATCTAATTATTGCTGCTCAAAATACAAAGAGTCTAAAAGGGATCTGGACATATGACTGTCTATTTATATTTTGTTGTTAGAAGGCTACAGGATTATGATTTGGCAAAACATGAAGACTGCTTATGAATCGTATTAATAATAATAACAATAAAGTTTGAAGAGATCTTGGAGGTCATCTAGTCCAACCCCCTGCTCAGGCAGGAAACCCTACACCATTTCGGACAAATGGCTATCCAGTCTCTTCTTAAAAACTTCCAGTGTTGGAGCATTCACCACTTCTGGAGGCAGGTTGTTCCACTGATTAATTGTTCTAACTGTCAGGAAGTTTCTCCTTAGTTCTAGGTTGCTTCTCTCCTTGATCAGTTTCCATCCGTTGCTTCTTATCCTGCCTTCAGGCACCTTGGAGAATAGCTTGACTCCTTCTTCTTTGTAGCAGCCCCTGAGATATTGGAACACTGCTATCATGTCCCCCCTCGTCCTTCTCTTTGTTAAACTAGACATACCCAATTCCAGCAACCGTTCCTTATATCTCCCATAGTTCAGGTACTGCATCAAAGACACTTGTCATTTATGATAACTTTGCCAACCTCCAGTAGTAATGAATATAATTCCAGGCCAGTAAGTCTGAGGAGCATATTAGATATTAATTAGATTTTTATGGTTTTGTAATAATTTTTATGGTTTTAAGATTTTGTAGTTTTATTGTTGTTATGAGTCACCTAGAGTTCTATGATAGGTGGTTATGATTTTTTAAATAAATAAGCAAAGAGCAAGTTTACATTAATGGTATTATCACAATTATTAATTTTACAACTATTACTAATGAAACATCCCATCTGACAAGTGATTGCCATTAAATATTTTTGGCCTCTATCTTATGTTAAAATACTCCATTTCTATTAAATGTCTGAGATATACAGATCAATAGGAGTAAATAATTTTGATGCTTGTGGAATTACACTTAGAAATAATAATTGAATTGGCAGAGCTTTCAGAATTTCAAGGCTGAAATAATACTTATTTACTTTACCTACCTATTAAATTCAATGAGAATTGTTCAGGTAAACATACATAAAATCAAATTTTGTGGAAGACATATTTCAACATAAAAAATCCTTAATCTGTTATTCCATTTTGGATTTTTATTTTATTCTCTTCGGGGTCTAATGCTATCACTACCAGCCATCACTCTTATACATCAAACAGCAGTGATCTGCTTCAGTATAAGGAATTTATGGTGTAAAGTGTTTTGTAAAGTGAAAGTGAGCTGCCTGATGCAAGAGCAAGCCAATGATACTGGCAACTGTAGTACCTTCCCATACTTTGCCTTTCTTGCCTTATTGTTAGTTAAACAAGATTGCAGTTTATGTAATATGAAAAAAGTACTATGAGAAATAATTACTTATGGAATGGCTGGAGGAAGAAATTGGGGGAAAAAAATCACGATTTCTGATCTTTGCTAACCTTAAAATCTCTTCCAATAGAAAAAGAGGACATGACAAGTGATTACTACTGAGTTATTTGTTTTTTCCCCATAAGAACATAAAAGCAGAACATGCATTGAAAATACAATTAAGACAGTCCCCATCCCATTTATTTTACATGAAATGAAAACAAATTGTTAGACCATAGGGCTATATTTCTAAGTGCCATAACCCTTGTAATTCATCAATATTTGTAATGTATTCTTTCATAAAAGAAATTCTATGTTGCCACTAACAGAAATCACATTGTTATTCTACTTGTTTTGTTTACTCTACATTTGGATACATCACTATCGTTTCAACCTAACACTATCATTGTCACCTTTTTCTGGATTATAAAATGTCACACATTATTATGATTCAGATGCTATTATTTTACTCATGGTACTGTTCGTTATTCCAAAGGCATTATTTTTCAAATATTGACACTCCATTATTAAGCCATGCTCAAATTATGAATCAAAAGGTATTCCACTATTTACCAAGTCATTTCATTAGGATAACATTTTAGAACTCCCATTGCATGACAGTTTTTATATAATATCATTATTTCAAGTTATATCTTGACATAATTTCAAGCCTATCTTTCAATCTGTATACGGTATGTTCATGTATATGTATTGTGATTCTAAATGCAAACTATCCTTGCACTGATTTGCCATTGTACCGCTTATCATGCTATTTAATTGCATTCAGGTATATAAGATCAGTTACCCTAATTCTATTCTGCTGCAATCATTCTTCTGTCATCCTTTGATTATATTTACTATTGTTCTATCAATATATTCGCCTGCCTGGTAGTCCAAATCATACTGTTTATGATAATACACCTGTTGTTTATTCTCATAATTATGGACATTTTGTTCAGAGTCACTTTATTCTAAATGCTATAATTCATTCTAGAACTTTGGATGAATAGTTTCAAAACATTTGCTTCCATTGCTTTGATAGTCTAATCAGCTAGAAAAAAAGAACTATTAAATCCAACTCTGCACAGCAGAAAAATTGAAATTAAAACAATCTCTCATTCAACCTCTGCTTTAATGCATACAATAAAAGGAACCTCACCACTATCTTTGTAATTGATTATCCTATTAAACTGTTCTTATGTTTCAAATGTTTTTGAAATATTCAACAAGAAACTAGTTTTCAGCAACAAGACCTTTATTCTATTCTAAAACCATCTCTGTGATGATTGTGAACTTGACTGATCTTCTGTGTAACACCTTATTAGCTATCTACAAATGCTAAAATGTACCTAGTCTTTTATTAGGTCTACATATATCTCTTATCACATCTTCTAGGAACATCCTCAATATTTTTTTTAGTTTTTTGATCTCATCTTTATTGTTTTTATAAATAATTCAAGGCAGTAAATATATCTCCTTCCTCCTGTTTTCTCCACAAAACCCTCAAAGAGGTCAGTAGAACTGACAGTGACTGGACCAAAGTCACCCAGCTGAGTCATGCACAAGAGAGGGCTGGAAATCTCCTGATTTCTAACCTGGTGGCTTAACCACTGGATCAGTGGTTCTCAACCTTTTTAATGCTGCGACCCACAACCGGTCGTAAGTTGAGGACTACTCAACCGGTCGTAAGTCGAGGACTACTCAACTGGTGCAGCACCGTTTGCAGAATGGGACTTTTGGCGGGCTCAGCAGGGCAGAGACAGCCTGGACAATTCCTATTGGCTTTTCAAAGCCAATAGAATTAGACTCTATTCAAGAGAGTCTATTCTATTGGCTTTCAAAAGCCAATAGAATAAAAGGGTGTAGCACAGCTAAGGAAAAGGGGGAAAAAATGGTGGACTGTGTTGTTTGGCGACCCCCGTGAAATGGTCGTTCGACCCCAAATGGGGTCCTGACCCACAGGTTGAGAACCACTGCACTAGATCAAACTAGTTTTTTCCCCTCTGCTCCAATTTCTCTGAATCTTTTATATTACCTGTATGTGTGGTATATGTTTTTCTGTGTTGGCTGAATTTACCATTTAATTTTGTTTTCTGTTCTGAGTCATATAGAACCTAAATCAAATAAAAAAGCAAGCAAGCACACAAGTAATCAAATAAATATGGTGCCTCAGAACTGGTGACAGTACTCAAGACAGGACAGAATATAATGAAACTATTATTTTGTACGTATTGGAAATTGTTCTTCTACTGATGCAACCTAAAACTAAATTCAGATAGTCCCAAACTTAGAACCACAGTTGAGCCCAACTGCAAGGCAGTTGAGTGAGTTTTGCCCCATTTATGACCTGTCTTGCCACAGTTAAATGAATCACGCAGTTGTTAAGTTAGTAACATGGTTGTAAAGTGAATCTTCTCCATTGACTTTCTTTGTCAGACAGTTGCAAAAGATGATTATATGATCCTGGGACATTGCAACCATCACAAATATGAGCCAGTTGCCAAGCATCCAAATTTTGATTACATGACAATGGGGATGCTGCAACGGTTGGAAGTGTGAAAAATGATCATAAGCCACTTTTTTCAATGCTGTTGTAACTGTGAACGGTCATTAAATGGATGGTTGTAAGTTGAAGACTATACCTTTTCAGTAGACATACTCCATGACCAATTCCAATATTCTTTTCCCAAATATTATTACAAAACCAGATATCTTCCATCAAATACCCCTGCATTTCATTCATTTTTCTAAGTATTACTTTGCTTATTGCAGTTAAAGCCTTCCTATTCATGGTCTCTCCTATCTTAAGTCTGTCTAATGGTTGATGAACCAGCTGTATCTTAAAGTTGGGGGGGGGGTGAGTAGGAGAATTGTGGCATTTTCTTCTGATGTTTTCCAAATGATACATTAGGGTGTATAGAACATTTATACGAAGTGTGCCTTCGAACCAATTTTTTTATGGCAATAATCATCTTGATTTCACAGAGGCCAATTCTTTTCAGCAGTCACATTTTATCGGGTTATGTTCCCAAAACTTATTGATTTTCGAAAGATTTTGGATTTAGCGGACCCCGCGAGCTCCAGCTTACCCGCTACCGTAGTTTGGGTAGGCAAGGAACGAACATCCAAAGAAAGATCACCGCAACTCCTGTACCTCGGCCGTAGGACGCAACCCAAACGCCGACTGAGATCGCGCGGGAAGGCCGGCAGCGGGAGCTTCCACGCATGCGCCTGGTTGCCAAGTGGGTGGGCGCGGGAGTCCTTCAGCAGGAGCGGGGGAGACAACAACAGTCGTTGTCGCGCCGCCAGCACCGCCGAGGAAGCGTTTTAAGGGCTGCCGTCGTTCCTTCATCCTCCGTCGCCACCGGGAAAGGGAGAGAGTCAGGCTGAGGAGCGGCGAGAGCAGGGCTCGCGGGGCTACTGGATTAAGGCGAGGAGCTGTCCATCCTCGGAGCCGTCCTGGGGAAGCGCGGTGCTCTTCCTTCAGCAGCGCAGAGGAATCCGCCGAGTCCCTCCGGGGAAAGGCTGCCCGCTTCTGCGCCCACGGTTGCCCTCCCGCGCACTTGCTGGCCTGTGGAGACGGAGAAGACGTCGCCGCCGCCACAGCCGCGGTGCCCTGGGGGCTGTACGGAGCAGCGGCCCCGGGCTCGTCAGGAAAAGCCGCCTCCGCTCGTCAATGAGCATCGCGGCTCCGGAGCTCCACTCCGGCAGGGGGGAGCCGGCTTCAGGAGCAGCCCCGGCGGCGGGGGGAGCAGCATGTGGATCCCAACGGAGGAGGAAAAATACGGCGTGGGTAGGTCCCGAGCCTCCTCCTGTCCTGGCGCTGTGGGGGAGGTGAAGGGAGGCTGCTTCGCCTCCCCCGCCTCCCCTCCCCGCAAAACGGCTGGCTCGCGGGCGGAGCGGCGGTAGCGATCCCTGTTGCGCGCGCGCTCGCGCGCTGCCTCTGCTTTGCACGTCCCTGGCTCTCCCAGGGAGCCCAACTTGCTTCTTTGTCAGAAAATGGCGTTTCGGGGGAGGGTGCCGTTTTTGGAGGGGGTGGTGGTGGTGGAATTGGGAGGGATGCGGGGCTGCTGCTTGCTGTTGGGTGGCAACAGCGAGCGGCCTCGCTTCGTTTTCGGAAAGGATGGCAAGTGCAACGTTATCCCTTCTCCGCTGCAGCTCAGAGCTTCTCCATCTCCTCCCGATTAGGCTGCCTTGCTTTCTCATTGCAAGATGGCATGCGAGAGCCCTTCAAAATTCTGCACCGATCGTCTAGGGCAGTGCTCTCGAAGTGAAGATGGACAGTATTCGCTCGTGCAGAAATCCAGTTAGCCCCTCTCATCCAGTGTTAGGAGTTATAAAGGGTTTATGTTACATGTAAATAAGTGTCCTTGTGAGGTGATCAAAAGGGGCTTCCGAAGTCCGCGTATAAAAGTAACCGGATGAGAAAAATAGAAACCCAGTCTCATCTTATAACCTACTTATTTATGGTGCGCCTTTTTATCAGCGTCTGCGACGATCTTCTTGTGATTAAAAATACGGAATTGTAGTTGAAGTGTCGGTAGAGGGCGCCAATTATGTACCTGCTCATTTAATTATTCCAAGAGTGGTAACCAAAACGCAACTTCACTAACTGGCAGGATTCTAAGCAAGGATGCTAATGATTTCTTCTCCCCATATGAACATACCTATATGACATAGGAAAAATAATGAATGTTGTGTGCATGTCTTCTGTTCTACATATTTTGACCAGTTTAAAATCTTTTAAAATATTTTCGTTTATTTTTTAAAATAGTATATTTTAGGCTTGCCTATTTTTTCCATGTAAAAATTTGAAAGGAGAAAGCTATGTTACTATCATAAAAACAACTTTACAAAGATGAGATTGCATCATAGCTTTGCTATGATGAAGCTGATGATTTCATAAATAAGAGACTGAAACTAAATAGTGCATGCAATCTTAGAGTTATTGGAATGTTTTTTAAAAATATTTTATTGATTTTCTATTATTACATTTCATTAGTGCTTACTGAACAATGTGTTGTCTGGGTTGATTTGTTTTGCTTAGTAATAAAAGTTAAGTTCTTACTCCCTATCCCATTTTCCAGCCATTGATAAAATAAGTTCCATGTTTGAAAATATTCTGTATCTTTTTCTTTGATCCTCAATGTAAGTCTGTCCATTTCAGCACAGTCCATTATTTTCTTGATTATGTCTTCATCCAATGGTGTTTCTTCATTTTTCCAGTGCTGAGCAAATACAATCCTCACTGCTGTTAATACATGTAATGTTAAATATACATTTTGTTTATCAATTTTTTCCTGAAATTATACCTAATAAAAAAAGTTCAGGTTTAAAGTTTAAAAAATTATTAGAATGTTGAACTTTACTCTATTTTTTGTTTGTTTCTTTAATATTTAAGACTTTTCCATATGGAATATGGAATTTTCCATATTGATATTTTCATACTGATCAGTCACTTACTCTGTCTTAACCAATGAACGTTTTTCATGTGCTATACAGTTTTTATATTTAACCTTCATTTAAAATAAGAATTTTTAGAAAGCAATAACATGAAGGAGAAAGCAGTGTTTTTAATTCAACAGTTCAACTTTAAAAAGAGGCACCCCAATATTTCTGGAAAACATAACCATAGCACAAATATGTAATATGACAGTATGAAATAAATTATGTAATAACCTATTATAAAAATAGTTATTGGCAGGGTTAAAGCTAAACTGCTCATCCCCCAGCAATATTAATAGTCATGAGAGCTTTAAATTTGCATTGTAGCATAAGGGATTTAAAAAGTATTTAAGGGTCTATTTCCAGTGCTACAAGTAGTCCAAGCATTAAATCAGATTAATCATATTGTTTGTTTGAATATACAAGCCTTTTTAAATAGTTGAACACTGATTGGGTGAGATGTTCATTGTCTTTCCAGTCACATGTTCCAATGCAAAAATGTCCTTGTTTGCCTTGGACAGCTAAAAATGTTTGTTTCTTTTTTCTGATGTTCAAAATATCTTACTGTTGGTTGTTAGCATTATTGTCTTATTGAAATACTTTTCATAGTCCCTTCCCCCATTTATTTTTTGTCACAAATAGATATTTTTGAAACACTTCTCAATTTTGAAATTTTTGAAAAAGAAAATACATGAATTCCAATGACTCTCTGCTACTCAGATTCCCCTAACTAACTTGTTCAGATTGAAGAAGCTACTTGGATGGGCAGCTAAATGTCTCAAATCAATAACAAACTAAGTTCAGTTGCCATGACTCAATTTCCAGACTTTCTCAGAAATTAACAAAATGCTCTGGCTGAACAGAATCATAACCAAATAAACTACTGTGTGTTCAAAATCTCCTTATCATTGTCAAATAATCATTATAAATTATTGGTTTGGAAATTTAGCTTGGGGTTTTTTTTGACAGTCTTTTAAATATGAGCCAGCAATGTGCTGCAGCTGCCAAAAAGGCCAACACAGTGCTGGGCTGCATTAACAGAGGGATAGAATCAAGATCACGTGAAGTATTAATACCACTTTACAATGCCTTGGTAAGGCCACACTTGGAATACTGCATCTAGTTTTGGTCACCATGATGTAAAAAGACTCTAGAAAGAGTACAGAGAAGAGCAACAAAGATAATTAGGGGACTGGAGGCTAAAACATATAAGGAACAGTTGCTGGAATTGGGTATGTCTAGTTTAATGAAGAGAAGGACGAGGGGGGACATGATAGAAGTGTTCCAATATCTCAGGGGCTGCCACAAAGAAGAGGGAGTCAAGCTATTTTCCAAGGTGCCTGAAGGCAGGACAAGAAGCAAGGATGGAAACTAATCAAGGAGAGAAGCAACCTAGAACTAAGGAGAAACTTCCTGACAGAACAATTAACTAGTGGAACAACCTGCCCCCAGAAGCGGTGAATGTTCCAACAATGGAAGTTTTTAAGAAGAGACTGGACAGCCATTTGTCTGAAATGGTATAGGGTTTCCTGCCTGAGCAGGGGGTTGGACTAGATGACCTCCAAGGTCCCTTCCAACTTATTATTATTATTATTATTATTATTATTATTATTATTATTATTATTATTATTATTATTTGTTCATGCCTAATTGGCAATTCCAGCTTTCTTTCAGCTCCATTTGCAAACCTGTACAATATTCATTAACATTTGTAAGACTGCCTCAACTCTTGGTTTCAGAGAAAAGAATACAACAGTTTTAAGAAGAAGGAATAATTCCAAATTAATGTACTCTGAGCAAAAAATAATCTAACTTCTAAAATCCAACAGGAAATAGAACCTCCAAATAAAATTTCAGCTATAAAATATTCAGTGTTTTCTGAAATTCTTGTGTGGCTGGCTAATTTAAAATTTTCAGAATGGATACTGAAGCAAAAAGAAATTAGATGTGAGGAGGGAAACAAATAGTGTCACATTTATTTAAATTATCCCTTTTAATTATTTACAGCTTCCAGGGTGACCTCAAGTGTTAGGGGCAGTCTCCAGAATTCTAATCACAAAAGAATTGCTTTTGCTGATAAGTTTTATACCTTGTAACCAATCCTCATCACCATCCCCAGAGATGCTTAGTTTAGGCATCAGCTATGGGAAGATTACCTATTAATGAGAATTAAGCGTCTGAATGTTTAACTAAGTCTAAAGAGATTAATCATTGAATTGAAGTTAGAACAGAAAGTTTATTATCTCACAACTTGCAAAAGTAAATAGGAAGAGCTAGCTTCTCTAAGCAGCCTGTCTTCCAGGTGTTAATTAAAAAATAGAGGTCAATAACAGAACACTCACACAGTAGGTCAAGTCACATGGTACTTTTGCAAGTCTGTTATTGCTTAAGAATTAAAGTGTAGAAACTGCATATGTTTAATCTTTTTAAATATTATCCATAGTATTAAAATATTATCTATAGTTAACTTATTTAAAATATGTTAAACTTAGAATATTAATTATTTAACAGCTTTCTGGTAAAACTGTCAAAAGGATTGTGTACAGTTAACAGCATCAAAATATAACAATCCTATTCTAAAAATTCTATTAGAATTCTATCCTATTACTATTAAAATAACCACAGTAATTAAAATACATATGAAAATTATTTGAATATATTAAATAAAATGTGCCTTTAACACATAGCTAAACACTAAAAAAATGGGAACCTCTTGTACTTCTGGAGAGAGTGCATTTCGGAATTTGGGCTTGATGAAAAAGTCCTTTCTGATATGCTAATTAATTGGCCATTGGCAATGGAAGTGTTTCTAAGAATGTCTTTCTTGCAAATCCTAATAGTCTGACAAGTTTTGAATGAAAGAGATAGATTTTTAGATTCTAGTGCATTTAGAGCTTTCAAGATTAACATATTTCTCCAGGCTTGTTACTTTACTGTGAAATAATTCAGAATATGCACAGCTTCTTTAATCTGAGAGCCAAGAAGCTACTTTCCTTCATGCAAAGATTAGCCTACCAGTGTTTACTGTTGCTGTCAAGCTCTATTTCACATATATTTGCCACTGGCCTTCATTTAAAACTTATGATATGAATTGTAATGGTAATCTAAAAATATTTGGGTTACCAAACTATTGTTTATTAACATAAGAATTGTATTTGATCAGAACAAACATTACCTAATCAGCTTGTTATTTATTCAACAGTCAGTATCATAAGTAAGAGAAGCCACAAATTTTTTGAGAAGAGTAACTTTCAACTCCTGTTCTTTAACAATTGATGTTGATAGTAAATAGTATTATCTTCCATTAATTTCTTTAATGCTGTTATGAGAGAGCTATAAAATACCTTT